GTCTAGCGGATGTTTCATAAGTATCAGTAGTTGGTATAGCATCATCCGATCTATATTGAGGTATAAGTGGTGGAGCACCACCATAATTAGCACCCCATTGATATGAGGTTAATGTTGATCGACTAGTATTATTTGAATCATCAAGTGATGAAGTTTGTTGAGATAGAATATTTTGTCCATTACCATAACCACGTTGTTGATTTCTTGGCTGATGTTGTTGTTGTTGATTTTGAAGATGTGGTTGAACTAATAGCCAGTTAGGATAAAAACTTGGTGAATCAACGGTTGCTGATGCTAATGAACCATACGTACGTGAATCTTAAGAAAAAAAGAATAAATACGATATATTGGGTTTCAATTAACTTTACCTGGATAAACTTCTGTATCATGAAATGAAGATAGACCTAGAGTAGTAGGTCCTCCTATAGAACCAGCTAATGGCATCACCATATTTTGAGATTGATCAATAGCTGCAGCTGCTTGAATCATACTTGGTCTATTAGCAAGATGATAATTAAATGGAGTTTGTTGTAATTGCATAGATGGAGGAGTTGCTTCTATTCGATTATAAAAATAATTAATTAGAAAAGAGACTAGATATGCATACGTGTTGTATCATAATTAGGTGAATAAGATCCAATTGATGAAATACTAGATATTTGTTGTTGTGGAACATTTGATTGCTTTGGATATTGAACAGAATGATTAGCATTGAAATGTTCACCATCACGAAGAACAGTATTGATTTTATTGCTCAAATAATCAATTAACTTTGATAATTTGACAATTTTTCTGACAAAATTAAGAAATAGTTGAGAAAATTTAATTTCTAATATTCAAATAAAACTTACTGTTTCTGTTTATTATAATATTCGTTGATGTTCACCTTGATTTGTCCAGTATATTCACCTATGCGCACATTGACGACGAAGAAATTGTCAATACTAATAAATTGACAAATCATTTTAAAATGATTTATCTGATAAATGGTCAAATGCTAAAACAAAAAGAAGAAAATTGTTTCAAATAAAATTGAGCTCTTACTTGTTTTTCTTCAGTTATTGTAAATCTTTTTACTTGTTCCATAATATGCCGAAATATAAGCGTAAATCGGTCCCAATCGTTTTGAAAATTTGTACTCGAAAGTATTCCATTTAATTGTGAATATTTCACCATTTTAAATCTAAAACAGAAAATATTTTTTCTAGGATTTATCTTTAATAATTACTATTTTATATAAATTTTCTCAGATTAATCATACAAAATAAAAATTATTTTCTAAACAGATACAAAATAAAATAAATTTCATATTTAAATTAGAAACTATAAATCAGAAAAATTAAATAACAGAACACAAATGAAAAAAAAAACTCCATAGAAAATAATTTTGTTGTTGGTGTTAATGATAATGAATTATTTCACAATGATCATTATCTATATTCAAAAGTACATTTGACATTGCTTGTTCTTTTGGATGATCTGAATGTAAGACAATGAAAATCTATTTATTTGATATAACAGATTAAAACTGGATGTTGAATAATAAATAATCGATAATTAATTTTAATAAGTAAAAATTAAAATAATTGGTTCTTAAAAATGAATAATACATTGTTGAATATCCGATAAATTTAATAACCTATTTATCTTTTCTATGTACCAATTTCTATAAAATATTTTGTTAAACTAATTATCTCAATTTTTTTCATTAGTGTCTCCATACGTTAGAAAAGATCTAAAACAAATTGAATTCCAGTTATTTAAATATTAAAAGAAAAAACTAGATGAATTGCCCATTGTTTGTGTAACAAACATCAGTATCATCGACTATTAAACGAATCAAAATGATGGATAAGATTTTTATTATTTAGATTAAAATTAAACGAAAGATATTTTGGTAGAGACATCTGATTATTTTAAATGAAAGCGATGAAATCTTTTTCATTGAATCTAACATTATTTGCCTGCTTTCTTTTGTATTTATCGATAGATGACGAACGAATAACATTTATTGAATAGAACGTATATTACTAAATTCATTCTTTTCTTCTTTGAAATGATTCATCTTCATATAACATTAAAAAATTTTTGAACGATTTTATTTTAAATCTAACTCTCTTATAAAATTGACTTCTGATGAGTGGTTTACGTCAAAAATATAATCAGTGTCTATACTAGATCCAAAAAAAATTCAACTTCAAATGTTGAATTATAGTGAAAGTGGATATATAACAGTCTACATTAATCAATTTTGTCCAGTATTGTAAAAGAAAAATGACTTATGTTTTTCATTAGAACTCATACTGTAACAAAAACAAAAAGAAGCAACATAAGTTTATCTGAATTAATTAATATTTTGTTTGATATAAATCAGAGTAGAACAATTTGATGATCGAATATTAAAAGAAATAACCGTTGTTTATTGATAATAATTTAAATCTTTCTTCGCTTGTTTTCTTCATAAACGATATTATTCATATTTTAATAAATGATTTTTTTGTATCATAACTGCTTGAAAAGAGTCATATATATTGCCTTCTTTAAAAGAGATGTTCATCTCGGCTGAAAATACGCCATGACCTTATGAGAGACAAGGTTTTCGCGCTAAAATGAACTATATAGGAGAAAATTGTCACTGTCATGGCAGAAGCGACAATGCCGTCATGGATATCTCTATTTCTTTGCTAAATTTTGTCCTATATTCATGGTGTATTCATACCTAATAAAAATCTGGCATGAAACTGGTGGTTAAACTGATTTCACATAGCAGATACTTTTATTTACATCATATTTTTCATATATAATTATGAACTAGCTAACGAGATGGCACTGTGATTATGTTATTTTGAATATGTGCAGTAAATCTTGATTACCAGGGCCAATCACCTGATGGTATTACGTTTTAATAAATTTTTATTCATACCAATAAATCCTTTTTGATGCAGTTTTTCTACCATTTTTGTATCACTATACGTGAGTTCCACATTTCAGCTCCTTTGGAGCTGCGCTGACAAGCTTTTTTTTTATGAAGCATATATGAAAAAAATGACAAAGATTGTATATGATGTCTATTATCTATTTACTTGATTTTCAATGACACTTAGTCCAAAGAAAAAACATGAAGATTATCATTATTTAGAAAATATAGAAAAATAATTTGGGTTCGAATAGTGATGAGTTCATTATAAAATCTGTTTTATCCATCAAACATCTACATTTATAGCTTGTATGAGTTGATGAATTGAAGCTTATTATCACACGCCTTTGATCCTTGTAGATAAATCATATGTTTTTCCTTCATAAAAAATTCGTTCATTAGGGCAAATGATATACGTGATATCCACACCAAACATTTCTAAGAGCTAAAGTAATAAATGAAAAATGAAAAATAAATTTTCATTTCATAAAATGATACCTGATTATCTAGTTATACTTCGAAAATTGCACTCATTCTTAGATCTTATTTAAAAGAAAGTAAATCTGTCTGAAGAAAAACATATTGAATTATTTTACAAGTTAATATATATTTATTCATGTAGATTCAAGGTCCAAAATACTCTGATAAGTGTTACCAGATAGAATGAGTCTATTTAAAGGTAGTTTGATTGATTCACTCTTTCTTAAATGAATATACACATTTTTTTTTAATAATAATGACAACACTCGACAAGGATATATATCTACCATTAATGAAATAAGTTTAAAACAAGTTGCACAATAAGGACCAATTAGATTAGTAATGAAGGACAAGAATGATTGATTTAGAGCTGCAACAATCAATACTGATTAAAAGAATTCTTTTTATTTACAATTTCAAAAAATTTAAAACTTATTTCAGTGCCAAACAAAGTGGCTCGAATGCAAAGGATACTTTATTTCAATTTTGGTAAGCCATCAATAGTAATTTTAATTAATTTTTAATACATTCTGATAATGTTTTCGGATCAATAGTCTACAGATATAATAAATCAATTAATTAATTATTTCAATATTAATCTTCTATCACTTACCTATAAAGTTCAATGGTTTCGAAAGAAATGAAATCGTAATTTTCCAGTTCCTCTTACAAGAACCAGGATACGAGTGTGATTTTTTTTTTCATCGGCGTCCAGATCCACATTCTAGACACCGACATCCTACCCTACAATTGTATATGTATGTTTTGAATGGTACTTGTTGGTTAAATACAATTTAAACACAATGAAGACATCCTCATCGTGGGCTTCTTCGGATATACATTTTTTTAAAATTGATTATGATATACGAACAAACTACTACGAAAGCAGGTATATATTATGGGAATATGTGAGATTATTTATCATCTTGTACATTTAGTAATCTTGACTTTCAATTATTTGATAACATTATCCGTACATCTTGTCACATTACTAAATAACCATTCATTTGTTGCTGTATGAGTTACATAGAGTAGTCGAGGGTGACAGTATCAGAATGAGGATATATTACCAATATTCAAAATATTTGTCGTCAAATAAATGAAAGTTAACACTGAGAAACGTCGAAGATTATAAAGAATTTTACATGCTCTCCAAAATAAATACTTACTTTTGTAATAGCCTGCTCTTATATCAAAATCAATTTAAAAACAACGAATGAAAAAGAAACAAAAAATTCATTTCTGGGAAACTTGATGATGAACACACATTCACTGTATTTCATTATCCCATTAGCAATCAAGTAAAATTCAAAACATATATTTATTTGTAGAGTCGTAGAACACTTTACATCTTATCGGTAGATATAATTAGAGTAGATGTGGGTGTTGGTTTTATTTTCATCAACACGTTTTATTTGTTTTCATCATTGCTCGATAGCTACTTCTCCAGCTTTTAAAACCATCTTCAACTTTTTTTTAATTTACATATTTATTATTTATTTCTTAAAATGACGTGAAATGCAAGTTGCTAAGTCTTGGATATGAATCATACTTATGATTATCGGTTATTTTTCAGCTAGTATTATTCATTACGAATGATCGATCCTTTTTCTTTGCTTTGTTGTTAGATGTTAACATAATAACAATTATTCAATCAAAGTTTATAAGAATTTTTAGCCGTTAAGTACAAGAGTTCTTCTTTATAATACTCATTGTAAGAGCAATATCGAAAGAATCCTATCTGAGATTTTCTCGTCGTAATTTATTTATTGTTTTCCAAAAAAAAAACGTGCGAGTTTTAGAAAAAATGTCCAATTTCTATGTCTATATAAAATACAGAACCGAAATTTTATTGTTGATCTCAAATATGGATTTAATGTAAAATGGATATTTTATTTAATCACAAAAAAAAAAGTTTTTATCGTAAAAACGCAAGCCAAAAAGCCATAGTAACACATGAGATTGCAATCACAAGAGAAAGACGAGTACCAATTATTGACGCTAAAAGTATTAAAAAAAGCACAAATGAATAATCGAAATAAATAAAAGGAAAACAAAAGCAAACCTTTATAAAAAATACCAGCAAATCCTTTCTTTTTCGATAGAAACCATTCACGTAATTTTGGTACACGACGCATACAACTACATGTTCATGTTGTCAGTATAACAAAGATAATTATACCATCGAATGAATATGCTAAATAAAATGACAAAAAGTTTTTTTTTATCAAATTTTCTTTTGTCTTAAAATTTACCATTAACCTTTTTTTTTTCTTTGAGAAATTTTTATCTGAAACAAAAAAAAACCTGTTTATTTATTTAAAAAATATTTCTGTAAAGTATCAATAATTAGACCAAATGATATAAATGATGAATAATCTTCGTTATGTATAAATAACTGAGCAATTTTTAAAAGAAATTCTTCATTATGTTCAATTTGTTTTAGGACTTTGCATTTTTCTTCATGAGATAAATTTTCATTTAAATAATAATCAAATAATGATGGGTTTATTGATAATAAATCATTAACACGATTTCTTTCAATTGACATTAATAAAAATTTTTTATCAATCATTAATTCAGACTAAACAAAAAAAAAACGTAAAACATTTTTTAAACTAGGAGAAAATATAATATAAAAATAATAATTTACTGGTGATCGAAAAAGTAAATCGACTAATGATGATATTAGATTTATTAACCATAGTTTATATGCATTGGACATCAGATCTGTTGAATTGTATAAATATTGTACTAATGAACTCATCTCCTAAATTCAATTCAAATGAAATATCTACATTGCTTATGCAAAAGTTAATATACAACATATTCTTCGACTGTCTTACTTATATCTATATTAAATAAATGAACACTATCATACATATCCAAATTCACATATGCGACAGTTCAAGATAAATATTTTATTTTATTATTGAATGATCTTTTATATGGTTTTATGGTTTTTCTCCTTGTTCTGTCACATATGTAATAGAAAATGTGGCATCTTCAAGTCTGTCTTCATTACTTTCATTCTCAATTTCCTAAATATGTAATACAACACTTCAAGAGAAAATAATTTTGTTTTTTTATGATGGTAACATTTGAATAGACTTTAGAAGATACATAGCATGTTCTGATTTTTTGCAACTATTAATTAGTTTTGATTTATAAATTAAAAAAACCTCTAAAAATATTCTTATTCTGAGATGTTGTAAAGTATTTGCAAACAGAGTTATTCTTATAGATTCTAAGAGAATTAAACGAAAAGATGAACGAAAGAGATATTCTATTTGATCACTATAAAAGTGGAATACACGCTCCAGAAGTGGAAATTTATAGTCAAGATCATTATCCGAGAATTTATTACTGCATACATTGATAAAAAGAATTGCAAGTGATTGAAACATCATCAGTCAGTTAGAGAAGATCGTTGAATTTAGGAGAATGAAAAACTACAGCATTTCATACATCTTTCTGTTTAATTCTATTAACAATCGATTAGAATAAGTTAAGAGAAAATTTTAATTTGATTATTATTGTAGAAAACTTAACAATGCATCTTTTGAAAACAAATAAAGATTTTATTATTTGTCTGTGGAGGTTTGAGACACATAGTAAATTAATATCAAAATTTCTTTTTCTGAAGATTTCTATCATTATGTTCATTATCGAATCGCATCTTAGAATAACATAAATTCGTTAGATAATCTGAACTTTCGTATCGCATGTCTTCTTCATAGTTTCGAGATGATATACATCTCCTGAGATAGTCTGCGTCAGAGGCTGAATCGAACTGAGTTTTACTGGTTCGAGTTCAGTTCGGTTCGTCTCTATTGTCTAAGAACAAGTTCAGATTCAGTCCGGATCGATCCGACCCGAACTGTTATAGTCCAGTTTTGTTCGGTTCGTTTTCGGTCTTTGGTCTGCATTTTCTTCAAATTACAATGCGATAATAACGAGTGGGGTACAATGAATAGCCGCGTTTTGGATTTCATTTTTTTCAGCATTTAATTCATTTTATTATAAAACAAAGTATACCACAAGATGCAACGTGAAAAGTTCTACAATTTACATAAGATCGCTTATTTTATAGTTGCAATTTTTATTTACAAAATGAACAAAATTTCGACCATGCAAAAATTGGTCGCACAGAATTTTGCTTTTTTTTGAAAACAGTTACAATAACCTTTACTATGTAAATCGTAGAGCTTATCATGCTACATCTTGTGCTTGTATATTTTGTTTTTTTTAAATAAAGCGAATTAAATGCAAAATGCGACCATTCATTATGCCCTATTCGTTACAATGTTGTCTAGTTATACGAAGAGATAGGGATACGTAGCCTAGAAAATTGAAAATCCTATAGAAAAAAAGAGCCATGATCAAGTCGAACAATTCTGAACATTTTCTATCCTTTTTGCTGAAAATTGGCTAATTTGAATACTTCCACAGAATACAAGTCTATACTATATGAATTTTTTTCTTGAATTTTAGTACCTAAGAATTCGATTTTTGTCTATAATATTTTTTTAAAATTAAAATTGCTATTTTTTTCTAATGAAATAGTGTTTTTCTTTTGTTTTCTAGGTAGATGTTAGCCAAAAAAAACTAGTCCAGAATAAAATGTTAGCTTTGGAGGAGTGATATGAATTTCTAGAATAGAGGGTCATGACTTTTTATTCTAATGGGGTGTTCTAACAATAACTGTCTATTATGATAAAAAGCATCATGTCATTATCTAAATGTGGTGCACATCTTTGTAACAAATTATTTTCTTTGTATCGTACTTCTTCATCAAATTAAATAATATTTTCCGTTAATATTCTTTCCCATTCTGAATTTTTTTCAATCAGTACTAAAATTAATTCATTTGTTAAAGTTAATTCATGTGAACTAAAAGATACAAAAAAAACCCGATTTAATTTGATAAAATAATAGTACAAAAGAAAAAAAAGAATCGAACCCTTTCATATTATTAATTTGTTGTTTTGACCAAGTATTATCAAGAATTTGAATAAGAGATTCAAAATGAACAAGTTTTTTCGATTGTAAAAGATGTTTTTGAAAAAGAATAGAACGATTTTCATCCGTTTCAATATTTTCTTTTGTTAACTAAAGTATTAAAATAGTATTTTAAAAAAAAAACTAAAACAAAAAATTACTTCAATAAATGAATCAAATGATGAAAGTAAAGTTGATAAACGATATTGTTCAAATAATAAAAGATCATCTGATTGTAGATTTTGTTTATTAAACATCTAATTAAAAAGAAAAACAATTCTTTCAATTCAATAATAATTAATAAATTTTACTCTATCAAATTTATCAATTAATTTATATCGAACACCTCGATCAATTATTTCCAAACGACACATTTGTTGTAAACATGAAAATAATTCCTTTTTATCAATTTCATCCATAGATATACTTTCTAATAAATTATCTAACCTTAAATAACTATCTTCATTACCAGATCTTAAAATAACAAATAAATGAAAAAAAAAATCAATTCTTATTATTTTATTTTACTTAATATCTTGACGTATTTTTTCAATAGTTAATTGTAAAATATGATATTTTGAAATTTCAGGAAAGATACTAGTTTTTAAATAAATAATTAAATAAAATTGTCCATATTTACATGATAAATCCGATAGAATTTCTTCTTGTTGTTGAATATCTTTACATTGATCTAATTGAATTAATTCATCTTCTAAATAATCTGGTAAAAGTTTATATAGAACTTCAAGACGTAATAAATATTTATTTAATTTTTCTTCTAATTGTTTCCATTGTTTATTTTCTTTCGAAACAATTTGTTTTATTGAATATTCAGTTATTTTTATTCGTTTATTAATTAAAAAAATATTTTTTGGTAATAATAAATAATTAATACACAAATTAAAATCTTCAAATAATGTTATACGATTTAATAAATCAAATATTAATGATGATGATGGATTATATCGTAAATAATATGAATAAATCCAACTTAATGTAACAATTAATGATGATGAAACTTTAACTTGATCAAGTGCTAAACCAAGATTTATTATATTTGAATCATTTGAATATTTTTCAATAAATAATTCTGGTGATGAAAGAAAGAATTTGTAATCGAAATCTAAATAAATAAAAAAAAACATCGAAAAATAATTACAATTGATAATTTCTTCACAAGATATTACAATCAGATAAATTCTGTACATTAATCAGAACATTTGATTAACAAGTAAACCTCTTCAGCTATCTTCTTTCGATTTCAATGAATTTTTTGTCTATTGATACTAAATAATTTTCTAACAAAAACTCTAAAAATATTTGGCTTTTGACTAAACTATCGAATTTTTTTCTAGAGACTTCAAGTTTTTGAAGGACTCGTATTTTCGAATTTTGATCTAAAACTTTGCGCATATAAAAAATTCAAATAGACGAACTTACATAAAAACATTCACAAGTTTTGAACAAAATTTGTTCGAGATATGAGACTTTCAACATCTCGACCCTTTTTCCATATTATAATGTATAAAACATCCATGTTTTGAAAGTCTCATATCTTGAAGAGAATTTGTTTAAAACTTTTGAATTCTTTTATGGAAGCTAGTTTAGTTGAGTTATCTATATACGCTAAGTTTCAGGTCAAAATTCGAAAATATGAGTTTTCCGAAGCCTTGAGATCTCGAGAAAAAAATTCGATAGCTTAGTCAAAAGCCAAATACTTTTAGAGTTTTCATTAGAACACTCTGTAGTATCTATAAGGAAAATATCATTGTAAACGGAAAGGGATATCTCAAGAGATTCCCTTGTTAGCTCAAAATAATAAGACTTCTACTCAGTAATAGTATACGAACAATTCTGTAAAATTGCTTATTAGCGAAATGATAAAACAAAAGATCATTAGCTAGTTCTCATAGCATCAAAAATCATTAGAGCAACATTCAACCATATATATATATATATATATATAATATGTAATTTTTACTATCTCGGATTAAAACACATCATCTTGATTTTCTATCCATCTTATTCTACGTGTTCATAACTTTGCAGTTTTCATGCATTCTATCAATTTAATAAATTCAATCAATCAAACTGGCTTTACAGCTCCTCTGTAGAGCTCATCGGGTCCAAGAATTTCTGAACCCGAACCCGGACTCAGTCAAAACAAAATCTTCAGATCCAGATCCGGTCAGATCCGGGTAGCATCCGATGGGCTCTAACCTCCTGTCAAAAATATCGATTTTTGACCTTTTTACATGATCGAATAGCCCATATTTTCTAGTTTCGAAATCACTATTATTCTTAGTTTTTTACAATGGTTTCTGATGGTTTTCTCACGATTTCCAAGAGATTTTCTGGAAAATTCACAAGTAGAAAATGTTTGTTAAATTTTAGTTTTTGAAGTTGTGTGACTTTGCTCTATAGGCTTCTGACTTGGAAAACATATTCTGCATGCTCTAGCAAGTGCGTTTCATAGATTCCCTCTATGAAATCTCTTTTGAATCGCTGTACAAAGGAAAAAATCTGGATTTCTAAAGTTCAACTTTGTTTGCTGTTTTTCTCAAAACGGGTTGTTTTATTCGTGCGTCACAGACTTCGCAGCCATTTGACATGTTAGAAAGCTCGGGAAGGTTTTAAGTTGAAGAAACAATTGTGCTCAACAACTTAACAGAGCTGAAATGAATCTTTTTTTCATAGGAGTACTCCTATTTTTTCGAACTTTTCGAGAAAAACTGACACGAAAAATTAACAAAAAAGAAATTTAAAAAAATCGGACTCTGTTAAAATTGTAACGGCAAATGTTAGCCACATTTTGACGCCAACCAGAAATCTGTATCATTAAATTTGAGCGGAGAAATCTGGAACACACGGAGATCTATTTGTGGACCCTCGACATAGGGCTAACACTTGAAGAACTTAATATTTCGGACTGAAATTCTTATTATAATAGATTTTTGACAGGGGAATTAATCACTGTATTAATGATATGTATAATTAGTGTAATAAAATCTATTGAATAAAAAATCTTTGAAGTATATTTTAATATTAATTAAATGAAATGATTGAAAATGCAATGAATTACCATTATTAAGAATATTAGTTAATTGTTGTATAGCTTGAATATGTTTTTGTGCATGTGTTAAATCTCCTAAAGATTTTTTAATATCATAAAAAAGTTTTAAACGTTCATAATCTTTTCCATCAATAAATGGAAAAACATTTGTATGTAAACGTTTAACTAAATTTAATTTAGTTTGTCGATTTTTTTTAATTCTTTCTGAATTTAATAATAGTTTGATTTTTTTTCGTATTTCATTTAATAATAAATTTGAATTTGTTAATAAATATTTAAAATATGAATGATGACATTCATCTATTGATATATTATATTTAATTGCTAATTGTTCACCATATTCAAATGAAGGATTATCACACATAAATAAACCAAGTATTGTTAAACGACAATATACACTATCATTTTCCAAACGATTTAAATCAATTGAATTATCTAATTGATTTAATATTGAATATTGACGATTTCGTAATAAACGATTATAATTTTCATTATTTTCAATCAATGCTTTATTTATTATCATTGATGGTATTGCATTTAAATTACGTGGTGTAGGACTTTTCATTAATGATTGACAATAAATCGATAATTGTAATGCATATTCATTATCTTTTTCGATTAAAATATCATTCTGAAATTTATAAAAATAAATATTTGACTATCGAATATTAGCATTCAAAGAAAGAACGTGACATCGATGGTCTAATCTATCTGATGAGAAAACCATTCGAGATAACTCGTTCGTTTTGGTCTTAGATTTTGCACATAAGTAGCAGATTTGTAGACTAAGAAAAAGTTCAAGATGATATGGGTTCATGTTCTGATTTGACTGACAAGGGAACACATCGAATTGTTAATCGTCGATCCAAATGATATTTTGTCCATAAGTGAGATTAGAAAAAGCCTAAAAGGATTCGTCCCGGTGAGTCTTCCTTCTGGAGTTATGACAAGATATTCATAGAAAAAATAAAAAGAAAGAATTTTCATCTGAAATTTTGTTTATAAATAGGTTATATGATTTTTAGAACATCCTAAAAGTTTCAGTCAAAACAAATGGTTCCTTTTCGAGATATTGAATGTTAAAAAAAAAACGATCATATGTCATAAAAAGAACTTTTCCTCAGTATTCAATATCTCAAGAGGGAACTATCCGTTTTGGCTGAAACTTTGAAGATGTTCTAACTGTCATATAACCTATTTATAGACAAAATTGTAAATGAAAATTCCTTCTTTTTAATTTTTCTATGAATACTTTGTCATAACTCCAGAAAGAAGACCCACCGGGACGAATCCTTTCGGACTTTTTCTTGTCTCACTCATGGGTAAAATATCATTTCGATCGACAATTAACAGTTGGGTATGTTTCTCTCGTGAGATAGAGAAGTTTCACTTAAATCTTCCTGTAGAAGCCTGATTTTCCAGCGCAATCATATTTTCGAACTTTGCAATGAATTTTCCAAAATATTCACGTTTTTATACAATACCTATAAAAAAGAAAGCGACTATACTTTGAAAAATTCATATCTTGATGATGTTATGCGAAATAGTTCTAAAATCTAGTTGCGATCTCGATATGTGCAAAGTTTAAAAATGATTTTATTGACAAACCACGCTCCTACAGAAAATTCTCTATCTTAGTCAAATCACAACATGAACTCATATCATCTTGAACTTTTTCTAATCTTCAGGTCTGTTAGGTATGAGCAAAAGGAACGGTCCACTTCGAACGGTTCTCTAGTGAGGTCACTTTACTATAATTTTGAATCTTATAATAGTTTTGATATCTGATACTATATATCTATACTGATCATCAAACGTCAAAATCACATTATCTTAGATGTTTGATTTGAACTTACATTTGTATTTGATGCTAAATAAACCATAATAAATAATGGTGTATCAATATTAACATATTTTATTGCACTTTTTTCATCTAAAAGAATTTTTATTTAAATTTATTCTTATCATCGTTGTACTTACCAATGGGTGGAGATTTTAATAATGGAATTTCTTTTAATTCCATCTAAATAATTTATATAAAAGATTAGGATAAAACTAATAAAAGAACAAAACCTGTTGAGAATAATCTCGATCATAAAATGAATTTGTATAATATGAATAAGTTGATGTAATTCGATATTCTTCCTAAAAAATTGAATATTTTTTAAACAGAAAAAAATTAAAATAAAACTAAAAAAAACAAACATTTGGTATTGATTGATCTCGAATAGAAATCGATTTTTTCAAAACATCACCTAATAGAATCTCATCACAATGAAGACTAATAAATGATAATATTGATTGATTAATATATGATGGATTTTTATTAATTAATTCCTAAGAACATTCCTATGATGGACCATAATTTTTTTCAACCAATGAAGAACATAATTCCCAACACATATTTAAATCATTGATCTTTTTCAATAGAAATCAAATAGAAATATATTTATTAAACAAAGAAAATTAATTCTATATTAAGTTTTTCTCAAAAACTGTTCCTATGAACTTCAGACATGTGCAGGACTAACTTCTTTGGTTCGAATCTAGGAAGAACTATTTCAAAATTTATTCGCATGACATCCAAATAAATTCGAATATTCAATTATAATCTTTAGACAATTATTTTCTCTTATTTCTGGTCCTCAAACGAAAATTTATTCCGTACATTTTTATTGGTGACATTCGACTTCTAATGAGTTTCTTGTAGAATCTTATCAAATTTAATCATGATTTGTGAAGAATGTATTCAAATTAAAATACTAGATATCAAAGAACGATTTTGTCAGGTGAAATCTGAAGAAGATCTGACTATTGGATTGATTTATTTGTTGCTTGTTTGAAATAATAAAATGAATTATTTTAAGACAATATTCAGCAATATAAAGCATACATCGATCTTTTTTTATCTTGTTTATTTCCAGTTTGAAGATATAATGATAATGATATTAACTTAAAAATGAAACAAGAAATCTTTTTTTTTTTGATAAATGAAATAAAATTCTTTTACTTTGCTTGTATTTTTATAAGCTTGAGAATTTGAATTAAGAATAGCAAGAATTATTTGTATAGGATTTGGATGACGACGAACTTAATAACAAACCGAAATTAATATAATTATTTAATAATTTATATTAAAAATTTACTTTCTAAAGGTGTTATTGGATAATGAAAAAAGCCACAAATATTTTGTGATTCAATTAAATTTCGTTCATTGACAACTAATGATTGATCATCGACTAAATCTAAACAATGTCTAATCAACGAAGAAAAATAAAATACTTCATATTTAATATTATATTTGTCTTTTAGTTTTACTTAGCAAGAAGAATACTTCTATCTTGTCCATTTTTTGCTGAATCAATATAATCAATTGCTGTTTGAATTATTAATGGAATATGATTACGTAATAACATTGAACGAACTATTTGAAAACATTCAATACTATCTGATTTTAATAAACTTGAAACAAATAACTAAATAAAACAAATCGTTTTCTTTTTTTTTTTTTTTTGAAAAGATTAATTCTTTTTTTTTTTTACATTTAAAAGTGTTTGTGATGATAAACGATGACGACATATTCGTGCAAGATCATGATAAAGTTCATTACCCATTGAAATATTTATTTTATTCATTCTAAACAAATTTTATTTTGTTTTTTCTTGTTGCAATTAAATCATTTTCATATACGAAAATTCTCCATTTTGAAGAAGCACTTTCCATGAGATAAGGATATACAACAAGTAGAGAGCTGCGGGTCTGTGTTTTGTTTTGGACTCGAACCCGGGAAAAGCTAAATTTTCAGACCCGGATTCGGTCGGGTCTAGACCCGATCCTTTTTTTACCAATATTTGACACCCTCTATGTACATGAACAGATAAAGATACAAAGTTTTAGCTCTTCATTGGCCACTTTAAAGATAAAATGAGTGTAAAATTATATTTGGTTGTTTATTTTGCAATATTGGTTGACTTTAATTGTTATTGTTGTATATTTCCATTCGTAACTTAATACAGACCGTGTCTGAATTTACACTTAGGTATATACCCGGACCCAGGAAAAGCTAAATTTTCAGGTCCAGAGCTCTCTAACTACAAGGCTACACTTGCTAAACAACAAATGTTAGTCATTAGTCCAGATACTGCAAACTGAATGGGTGAGAGTTTGTTTCAAGTCGATAGTTAGTCGCATCTTTCTTCTGAGAGAGACTCGAAACGAAAAATTTATCGACCGATCAATTCTTCACCAATCGAAAATATTTACCAGTTTCTAGAAATGAAATTAAGAGAAAATTTTCTAAATTATTGATTATCGAACTTCTCGAGTTTCTAAAAATCAGAATGGCTTTATATTCTATTAGTGATAAGGTTGTCCTTGGAATTTCTATAGAATAAAATATCTTTATCATATTCAGTAAAGTTACATAAAGTCGGAGATTTTAATACATTGGTATATAACTTACTCTTCTTTAATTGCTGATTGTGTAAGAAGAACGATTGCATTTGATAATGATTCTTCTGATTCCTGTTTTTTTTACAATTTATTATTTAATTAAAAGAGAAATTTTTTTTTTCTACATCAAACTCACCAAAATTTTAATCATTTCTGATGGAATCATTGGAACAGACCATTTTATAAAAATTCAACATGATCTTTAAAGAAAAAAAAAATGAAATAAAGTCATAAAAAGAAAAAAAAAACTTTTTACTCAATAATATATTCTAAATCTTGTTTATCATTGATCAATGTTAATAATTGTTGACAAATAGATATTTGATTAATTGAATTAACATTTAAAATTAAATCTTTAATTAATTGATCAAAATCATTTTGTTTAAAATTTGTTTTTAATTTCAATGAATTAATTATTGGATAAATATCAAAATCATTTTGTAATTTTTTAATAAAAACTTTTTTTAAATATTCATTTGATTTTTGAATTAAATCCATTGATGGTAATAAAACTTGTTGAATACGTTTATCAATATCATCTTGTGTGGAATTATTTTTAAATGTTAATATTAAATCAATTATTTCTTCTTCGGACATATTTTTAATTTGTTCTAATGTTAAATCTTGATCAGATATTTTATTTAATACGAATTCAAGATAAAGATTATTATAAAATGAAGAAAATTCTTTAAAATTTTCAATTTCTAAAGCATGTTTACATAATTGAAGAGCATTTTCAATAAAACCAAATGATTCAAATGAAAGAATTCTTTTTTTATACCATTCAATAAATAATAATGGATCAATTTCTTCTTTTATTTCTTCATATGGAGATATAAATTCATCACTCCAATCATTTTCTTTTCGATTAAATTCTTTTTGTGCAATTAAAGAAAATTTTGGAACTAAATCTTCATATTCAGACAGTGGAAGTGTCTCAGGAATTTCATTTAATATTGGCAAAAGATCAATTGATGATATTGATGGAATTGCACGTTCTAACACAAGTCTTAAGCCTTTCAAATGTCCTTCCTACAATAGAATAAATAGATATGAAAAACATCATTAGAATTTTTATACTCAGAAATTTCAAGATTATGATCGTATTCTATTTCAATATAGACTCCTGATAAGAACCCGTTAGATTTGTTCTGGATCTGTTCGTGTCCGAAAATGTTGAATCCGGCGGACTCTACAGGTGATCCTCATCCTGTAAGGCTAACCAACAAAGTCATGTTTACTTTCATTTAAATGTACTTGAAATCATGCAATGTAAAATGTTACAATATGACTTTGTTCATAAAACGATTAATCGAAATCGATAAAAATCTGACCGCTAAACGTGCAGTGGTGCTTGTATTCGATAACTTCCCCCAGAAAAGAAGACCACCCTATATGAGAGAGCCATGTCTAAACAAAAGTTCATTGGCTCTATTACAAGGCTATGCATTAAATTAATTACATAAATACTTAATTTTTCATAAATATTAATTAATAATTAGTCAAAAAGTATTGTTTTTCTGAGAAATCGCTTCGTATTCTACTCTACACAGCATTTTTTTAGATGAAAATGGTAGTTTTTTCATGAAAAATACTCGAAAAACACTAATTAATTTTTCTAAAATTTTTAATTAATAATTGATTAAATGTTGACATCAATAGAAGATCAATCCAAAAAGTAACGATGTGCAGAGACGCTATACAAGGCCATTGCCTTTTATTCTAGGAGGTATGATAATCAAGTCGATAATTACTTTTCAGACATCGACACGGTAATAATGAATCAAGAGATTAAAAAAAATGATTATCATCGTAGGCTTATCATCTAAACTACAGATGAAAATCGATGGCTCATTGTCATCTATGACTGTTCGGTATGCTTTTCATATATTGTTCTCGGTTTAAAATGTTCTCAACTATAGTATATTCTTTAATTATTGACATATTGTTTATTTAGTATTTCTTTGTCTTTTATGAGACAAATCACTATGCTAACAGAAACATGAACATAGATGTTTGTATTGAAAATCTTATACAAACAAATATGAAGAGTACACAACACATTACTCTTTCAATAAAGAATCCAGTTATTTTTTTATAAATGATATCCTACAAGAAAATTGTTGAAATTCTATCGAAGCATTGATGCATTTCATGCTTTTTCAAGATATTAAAATTAGTGTGCATTCTAAAAACACCATGAAAATGATTTATATAGAAAAGAATAAGATTCGATAAGTTGATTAAATATAGATATTGGAAAAAAAAGTAATCCTTAAGTGAGTTTTGTTCGTTCTATTATGATTGATAGAATACATATGAAAAAAAATTCATACATATTTGTTTTCATGTCAAACGAAACCGAGCAAAATACTTTTCAAATCGTAGTAAGAGTGAATAATGGTCGATGATTCATATAGAATATATTAAAGTAACTAAAATAAATCTTATTCTAGCACATCTTAATGCAATTTGTTTATAATCCCATTCTCTAAATTTTTAAAAAATATTTGATTGATATTGTTGAAATATTTTATATTTATTAATAAGATCATCATATAAATATAATTTTCTTTTTTTCATCTAATAATTTTCTTCTATACAGCAAAACTTGTTTTTGTGGAATATTTAAAGGAATTTGTTTTTGTTGAATATCTTTTAAATATAAATTTTCATCATAAATTGTTTGAAAAAAAAGGTTGATCTGAATAATATAAATTATCAAATAATTGTTTTCTTGTTGCTTGATTAAGACCAAATTGTATTAAATTAAATTGTTCATTAAATGTTGGATATAAAATAGTTGTAGATAATTGAAGAACATGAAGACGTGATTGAATTCGCGTTAAATGTGCACCTAATTGTGATGATGATAAACGTAAAACTTTTTCATGTATTTGATCAGATAAATCTATTCGATTAAATACTTTACAAACACGTAATGCTTGACCATATTCACCTTTTGAAACTAAATTTTCAATTAAACGACAAGGATCACTATGTTCAAGTAATATTAATCATTAATTTATTAATTCAATTGAATCTTTTAATGAACGAAATAAACGTGATATTATATTAGAATTTTCTTCATCTGTTTCATTTTCAGTTTGATCTTTTATTTGACAATCAATTAAATATGATTCATTTGATGTTCGACGACAAAAACGTGGCCATTCATTTAATTGATTAGATTCATAACGATATTCTTCTAATGTTTCTATACCTTCATAAAAACTTATTGAACCATCAGAATAAAATAATATTAATGTCCTATATTAAAAATATTTTATTTTTTTAATAATTCAATAAAAAACATACTTTATTATCCCAATAATTAAAATCACAAATAAATGATCGATTATCCGGAATTTTTAACTAAAACAAAAACAAATTATTTATTTTACAAAACAAAATACAAAAATGAATCTTACTTTGGATAAACAATGAAGTTGTTCATTATTTTGATAGAGAACAATTGATTGATCAGATAATATTGATACAAGACAAGATTCATTTGGTGAAAGTGCAAGACCATAAATATAAATATCATTATTATCTTCTTCTTCTTCTATAATTTCTTTTATCTTAATAATAAATGGATTTTTTATATCAACAATTTTCCAAACTTGAATTGATTTTGTATTAAAAGGAACAATATAAATTTGATTTTGATTTGAATCAATAATTGCACATGTTATATTAAAATCAAATTTATCTTTTGCACATGATGCTATATCATCACGATTCATAACATAACGAATTAATTCACCAGTACGTTTTAAAAATAATAAATCAATAAATATATTTTTTTAATAAAAATAAAAATAAATAACAAATTCAAACAATGACTAACTATAATACATCACTTCCTGAAAACCAATTTCTACAAATGAATCTTCATTACGATTTAACTAAAAAAATAAATTTAAAAAAAAGAAAAGAAAATTTTTATTTTATATAAATAATTCAATACTGATTTCATTGGTAATTCATGTAATAATTGTCCATAATTTGATGAATAAACACAAACAATACCTGACCAATGTCCATAAGCTAATAATTTTCCATTATTACACCAATTTAAACAATTTAAATAATTATATTCATCTGATCGAGGTAAATCAAGTGGAATTTCTCATAAAACTTCAGATGCAACAAATGATATTATACATATATTATTATTTATTACTAAAGCCAAACGATTAGATCTATATGTAAGGAAAATTAGCAGCGGATTCGAGTATTTTCCATGACGATTCGCATGAGCGACT